GCAGGGATTTGGACTAGATGACCTATGAGGTCCCTTCCAACTCTGTTAATTTGTATCTGTATCAATATTCTAGGTGTGGTCTTACTAAGGCTTTCTAGAGCTTTCTCTCCCTGCTCCTGAAGAGTGTCCTCTCATCCTGGATCTAAAGCTTCTTCTCTGGTAACACTGTATTGCTAACTAGGGCATACAAAACCTTTGCCAGATCAATTCTTGAATACAGTTCATCCGCCTGGAATCCACACTGTATATCGGACATTAGCATGATGGAGTAGGTCCAGAGGTATTTCATGAGAAGAGTCCTCCACTCCTCTGCTCACAATAGAATCCCTTATGCCACCAGACTTGAAATTCTGGGCTTGGACAATCTGGAACTGTGCCACCTGTGATCCGATCTAAGCATAGTACACAAAATTGTCTGCTACAACGTCTTACCTGTCAATGACTTCTTCAGCTTCAACCTCAATAATACACAGGCAAACAATAGACACAAACTCAAGGTGAACCGCTTCAAAGTCGATTGCAAAAAATATGACTTCAGCAACAGAGTGGTCAAAACCTGGAATGCTCCTTTTTTCCTGCTAATTCGGAAAACATAGCAGATTTGCTATGGCTGATGCTTGAGGAGAGTAGAACCTGCCAATGCACTCACAGATGATCCAAGATGAAATTTATATATTGTTGATGAGAAGTATTAATTCAACTATTAGCTGCTCAGTCAAATAAACAAAAACATTATCTATAAAGCAACCTAGGGATGCACTGGTTATTTAAATTAAAACAATACTTGGTTAGTAAAAAAAATACACTTATAAAACTGATTAGATCAACTTCTCCAGCCTAGCAGCCAGCAAAGGAATTAAACCTCCCAATTCTCAACTGGGGCGGCCTCCAGTAATTTCAGCCTTATGATCGCCAACCTTGTTAGAAGCCTCACTGTTTCCCCCTTTCTCAACTAAGCTGTATTCACGATCTCAGAACCTGCTGGCATCCTTGGTGGCCCCTGGCCCCATTGGTTGCTTCTGAATACTACCGGTAGGTTGGTATGTGTTTTCCTCCATGAAAGGAAGGCACTACTGAGGCCGCAGTGGGCTCAGAGGGTCAGCGCCCCTCTTGGAAACTGGCCCATTTGGGTTCTGTGTTTTGACCTAGGGGTGGGTGGAGGATCCATATTGTCCCCCAGAGGAGGGGGCATCGGGGGTTTCAGAGTTCTGCTCCACCTGGATGTGAGACCTGATTCAAAATGGGTCTCCAGGAACAGTTAGGATACATGTGGTTTCCCCCCATCCTCCCCAAACCACCTCCCTCCTTGAGCTGCTGGTTCCCAGTGCATGGGGCATGGGGGCCTCAGGACGGAGTTCCCTTCATGGTTGAGCATGGCTGTGTCGGAAGAAAAATCCATTGGTTCAGTGCCAAGCTGGGAAAAGGATCCTGAAAACATGGAGGCTGATTGGAAAGAAAGGTTCCATCTATTGATGAAACAAAATCACCCACCGCATGTGATTTTGGGACAGCTGACAAAATGGAGTTGAGAGTGAGGGGTTTTTATACCTTCATTGGGCTTTGTACTTGAACTTCCTGTTCCTGTGCAAGAGCATGTCTTTTAATTTCTTAAAAAATTATGATTAGTAAAACTAGAAAAAGCAACATGTTCAAAAACCATATAGACAGTATGTTGTCTGGTTACAATTCTTTTGAGTAATATTCATCATTGTAATAATAATAGTCCTCTCTAATAGTAATCTTCTAATGACAGCTAGACAGTAATTTTACTACATATGAATTGTTAATACTAATCAAAATTAATAAGTTACAGTAATCAACCCTAATAAAATATTAATCTTTCTCTTTTAATTTTAAAAGTTCTAACTCCCATTCCTCTTATTTACCAATCAATAGAACACATCCCATGCCTCAAAATATTCAGTGTCTTCCTTTTCTTTAATTTTAAATGTTAGTTTATTCATTTCTGCACATTCCAAAATTTTTGTTATTATCTCTTCTTCTGTGGGGAACTCTTCACCCTGCCAATGTTATGCGAACACAATTCTGGCTGCTGTTAAAACATGTATTATTAAATATGCATTCCTTTTACTAGATTTGTCTGGTATGATGCCCAACAGAAATATTTCTGGTTTTAAGTCTATATGTTCTTTCATCATTTTTTTCTAGCCAAGGGTGAATTTTAGTCCAGTATTTATTTATTTTTTGCTTTCCAACATGTCCTTTAATGTTATATTGGCTGTTGTCAGATTCCCCTGGGGTCATGTAGGGGTTATAGCAGTCGTAGCTTGCTCTATAGGTAAAAGAGGAAATGCAAATCCTAGGTGTTTATCTGAGCTAATTTGGTTGAAGTTTGACTGCTCTGGGAGTGGTGCAATGAAGAGGCTCCAGGCTGCTTCTAATCCTACCATTCTGCCTTTGTTTCAAAATATCATTTAGAATTTAGAATTTAGAATTTAACTTTATTTGTATGCCGCCCTTTTCCCTGGGGGGGACTCAGGGCGGCTCACAATTCANAGCTCTCCAAGCCTGATAAAGGTCTGTAGTTGTGAAATCTCACGAAACATTTAGCTGGCAAGGAATTCCCTTCAACCTAAATAAAAGGGGTTTTATCATGAGAAGTCTGCTTCATGATCTTGGGAAGCGTACAGTAGATCAGAACACCTTTGTGTTCTGAATAAGCTTTGTCTTCCTAGTGAGGTGGTCTCAGGTTAACAGGTGGAGTTTCCACAGGTGGAGACTCCTTTGGAAGTAGGATGCGCCAGGATTTGGGATTTTCCTATTCTCCATGGTCTCCCATTGCTCAGATCAAAGAGAAGCCAGGAATGGGGCTGGAAAGAGTGATGAAAATATCCCTGAGCAGAAGATGGAAATCTGTAGCTGTCCAGAAATATGAAAAAAGAGGCTGAGCTGAGAGAAGGAGAGAGACCTTTGCAACGCCGAGTTCTCACAGCTCCTGGAATCCTGTGTGTGTGTATGTGTGTGCGCGTGTGCATGTGTGTGCAGTCCCACTTAATTGCAGGCTCCGTGGGGCTTAACTGCTTGGGTTCTCAACTACTCCAAGAATTATTCTCAGCTGCCTTCCAGGAGAAGCGAAGGAAAGGCAGCAACCGGATTAGAGGCCGTCTGTTTCTCCTGCTGGCCTGTGAGATTGGAACACATTCTTTCATCTCTGAACCCACAGGGAACTTTGATGTGCAAAAGTAAAAATGCCCCAAGAAAGCTAATGTAGTGGAGGCTTTCCTGAGCTTCTGGGAGCTGCCGGGAGCCTCATCCTTTAGCTGGGCTTCCAATATGAGCCATGGGAAGGCGGCTGGTGTTGCCTAGAAACTCATAAACCAGAGTTTTGTTGGAACTGATAAGAACTTAATCCCCGGATTTGAGAGACAGTCTTTTATCTTTGCAGGGGGGGTTCTTTGCCCACCCAAAAATATGAATCAGTAAATGATTCGAGCAAAGTGAAAAAAAAGTGTTTAATAAGGGAGGTCAAACACAGGGAACAGAAACAAGTTAGACAGACGTTTAAGGCAGATGTGATACGTCAGAAAGCAAGAATCAAACAAAAGGCAAAGATACTTAGCAATTGCTAGCCATTCACTTAACACATGTGGCAAGAAAGGTCATAAAATGGGACAAAACACACTTAACCACCATCTCACTTAGCAACAAAAAGGTTGGCCTTAATTGTACTCATAAGTGGAGGGTTTCTTGTATTCATCAACTAAAGAATGGGGAGTGCATTCTAGAATCCTTGAGTGCTGTAAGGATAGGATAGGATAGGATAGGATGGGATGGGATGGGATGGGATGGGATGGGATGGNGTAATAGTACTATTACTATTACTATCATCTCTCCTGCCAAGCATTTGGATTCACCTTCAGCAACTATCGCATGGGCTGGTTGAGACAGGCTCCATGGAAAGGACTTGAATGGGAGGCTGACATAAACTCTGGTTCCAGTAGGATAAACTACTCAGACAAAGTCAAGGGGGGCTTCACCATCTCCAGAGACAATGCCAAAAGCCAACTGCATCCTCAAATAAACAGCCTCAAAGCTGAAGACACAGCCGCCTATTACTGGGCGAGAGACACAATGAGGTGATGTGAATCTGAGGTGATGAAAGGACCTTCTTTTCCTCAGAGCAGCCCTTCAGCTTCTTTTAGCCAAAAATGATGGATTAGTGAATTAGGATTCATCACCACCCAGAGAGAATTTTGGACTATTTTGTTCTGGGAATCCAGTGAGATAGTTTGAAGAAAACGAAAAGTGGAAAAAATAGTTTGTTTTAACGTCACTGTTTACAAGGTGGTCTGCTTTTAGAAACAAACTGGAATTAAAAATAGCCCATTACTATCATGGTTGCAAAGAGGAAATGAAACTATAGCATAATCTTTCTAAATATCCAAACTGCCATTTAGATATTGAGGAAACATTAGGAAGGTGTCTCCCCTCCTCATTTTGGACACTGGGGGGCAGTGTTGTCAATTGAAACTCTATGGCCTCTGCACTCTGGGGGGGATGGGGCGGAAATAAAACAAGTGTCATTATTTATTGTCTCATTTCTGAGATATGATTAGTTTATTTTTAGTTCCATAATGGTTCACTGAAAACTGAATATTCATGTGAATTTTCCTTCATGCTCTCTCTCCAGAGTAGCCCTTCCAAAAATTATAATTGCATGTTCCTTACCTCTCCCTTTGCATCACTTTGGAGAAGTGGTGAAATTTTGCAAATCTTTATTTTAATTACTCTAATATAAACATACCTTTCTATGCTTTGAATTTACAGTAAGAGGAAAGAAAGAAATAGTTTGCCTTCAATGTTATGAAGACTGTAATATTTTGTGAAAGTCCCTCCTGTAAAGACAAGTAAAACTGTGCGATTAATGCACTGAGTGGTGCTTTTATGTGAAGCCATATGTAAATGAAGGCAAATTTTCTCCTTTAAAGGATCCATTTGATTTCTCTTTTCAGGCTACCCACACAAAGTTTGTGCATTTTCCTGAATTCTTTCCTCTCAATTCCCTCCATTCATTGCAGGGAGCCAAAATGATCCCATGGCTGAATTTGTTCTCCTTGTTAGTGCTACTTCAAGGTATTTTTCCTATTTTAAAGAATAAATTTCTTTTTTCTTTTTTACTTTTTATATACATAGAATATTTCATTGAATCACTTTTGTTTTTAGGAGTCCAGTCTCAAGTCCAGTTGGTGGAGTCTGGAGGGGATGTGAGAAGGCCTGGAGAGTCCCTCCATCTCTACTGCCAAGCCTCTGGATTCACCTTCAGCAGCTATGCCATGAGCTGAGTGAGAGAGTATCCAGGAAAAGGCCTGGAATGGGTGGCATTCATACATACAGCCTCATCTCCAATTTACTACTCAGAAAAAATGAAGGGACGCTTCATCATCTCCA